ATACCTTGCCCATGACCATACCCTGCTCATGACCATACCACCCATGACCATATCCTGCCCATGCCCATTCATTGGCCATGTACATACCTTTCCCATGACCATTCATTGCCCATGACCATTCATTGGCCATGTACATACCTTGCCCATGACCATACGTTGCCTATGACCATACCCTGCCCATGACCATACCCTTCTCATGACCATACCTTGCTCATGACCATACTTTGCCCATGACCATACCTTGCTCATGACCATACCTTGCCCATGACCATACCTTGCCCATGACCATACCCTTCCTATGACCATACCTTGCGCATGACCATACCCTTCCCATGACCATACCCTTCCCATGACCATGCCCTGCCCACGACCATACCCTGCCCACGACCATACCTTGCCCATGACCATACCTTGCCCATGACTATACCTTGCTCATGAACACTGGCTGGCTTATATACTACAGTGAATGGATAGAATACTGCTATCCTTCTTAGCCTTGCCTAAGTCTAAATAATTTCCTGGATTGTTGTACAAGATGTAACCTTTAATTATTGTACCGACCATTACATCTGGGAATTGGTGGCAGCATCACAAGTAACACATATAAATCATAACACACAGCTCCAAATGTTATCAACACATTCGACACTAATTGTTACGGAGTTTATTTACAGATTATTGTCTTGAAAAATGGGTTCATATCATACAAAGGTGATTTGAACGAATTGCGAACACACGAGACGTGGCAGTCACTACACCACAATGTTCCTAGGTGGAGGAATAAAAGTAAAAATAACACGAAAATCCGGGCAGTACCACCAAGCGCACCCAATATGGCAACATCAAACGTAAATGGTGAGTTTTATTCGGACCACGTTTGCGTTTTTGTGCAGGCCTACGTCATGACATTATTTATTTTACCTGTCTAAGTGCAGACGCGCTATGCAAGTGTTTTTGACACTCATTAGAAATGATAATAATTATTTTCTATATGACGCATTTTCATAACAATTGAAACGTTGAAATACTAGTCTCAAACAGTCGGACCTGTTTTCAACATTTGTTACTAGTAGTATTTTCTATAAATTATAAATGTCTGGTTTCATTTATCCGCCATGATAGCATCTCTAATTGTCGAGGAAGAACGCAAGACAGGGGGTGTGCCATGGAACGTGATTACTTCGTATGCTAAAGCAATGAAACTCTCACGTGTTGCTGTTATTGTTGTTTGTTTTGTTCTACAACTTGCCGCAGTTGTTATTAACAATTTGATATTGTCAGCTTGGTCGACCGCTGGTCAGGAGAGCATTACAGGAACACAGGTACGTCGCTAAAAAAACACAAAACGCCGGCAAATATTATATGCCTATATATTACATGTATTACAAAAAACAAATATTTTATCCAGTATGAACAGGATTCGTTGGTCGACTACTACCTACCACGGTATGCTACAGTGACAATCATAATCATTGTAATGACGATGCTAACCAATACATTTCAAGCTGTATTCTCATTGTCAGCGGCAAAAAGGCTTTTCATGTTGATGCTGCACAACGTCGGTCATGCGCCGATTCGGTTCTTCCATACAACACCAGTGGGTCGAATTCTTAATAGATTCTCCAACGATACGATGTCAGTGGATTTAGTAAGTCATATTTCTTTCTTTCCATATTTTATTTCTTTATTGTTCTTAACCACAAATTATTATTATTATTAATAAGTAGCAATATTTAAATAGAAAATAGTTTGACGCACAGTATGTATATTATATATGGGTCATTTGCATATTATTTAAGTAAATTTAGCTTCTGAATGTGTAGTGTGTGTACGGAGTGTACGTGCCACATACATATTGCATTATGATCATGATGATTTTTTAATAAAACCTTAAGTCATAGATCTGTATCATTTAATGACCTTATATCACATTGTAGAAGCTGTGGATTATTCTTAATGGAATGATGAGTGTCGGGGTGCAGCTTACAAGTACATTCTTAGTGAATATGATTATTTCACCGTATCTGATTATAATTATGGTGCTAATAGTGCTGACATTTTCGGTGTACATTAACAGAAGTGTACGACTGCCAAGGTAATATTAGAATATAAATTTGTGTTACTTTAAATGCAATATACAATATTTAAATAATCTTTAATTTCAAGACATTCGCGGCTATCACCGGAAATACGGCGTGAATTTGTAAGAAATGTTATTGATATTTACTCGAGGGCGTAGCGAGGGAAAATATCAAACGTGCTTGTTTAATGTCTAAGCAACGATATCACCAAGAAAATCACTAACCAAAAGAAATTATACAAGCGAAGTATGGAGGAGTCGAGACCTGTGACAGAAACAGTGAACACAGAGCTGGTAATCCGGGCGCGTATATATTATTGTTCCAAATTACTGACTCAATACCGGTTTTACGAAAGCAAATATTAAATATTGCAGTATCTGGTAAAGTACTAAGTAAATTTTTGTGAACAACTTTGAATGCACACATTACTAGAATATTATCATTAGCATATGCAATGGGTATTTAATACCGCTCTTATTTATTCATTGTATGTATAATCAGGGAGCTGAGGCGACTGGACAGTACTACACTTTCGACAGTTCTTGCACATGCAACTGAAACGTGCATAGGATTATCGACCATACGAGCATTCAGGTAAACACAATGTATGTTTCAAA